GCTTTGCTGGGAACAGGGACAATCAGGTTTGCTGCCTGAGGGGCTGCTGTCCCCACACAGCCTGCCCGAGGGGCCACTGTCCCCGCACTGTCTGGAACAGGGCTGTGAGGAGCGTAGTGGTCTGCGATCCAAAAGGAGTGTTTGGCTCAGCTCTGCCGAGTGCCTGACCCCACAGAGGCCCAGGTTACCAGGACATGACTCCTGCGCGGCCGGAGTCCCTTGTCTCTGACGCCCTCGAGCCTGGGAGTGTGTCTTAGCATGCTCGAAAGCAGGCGGTGCATCATGCGGGCCTTGGGAAGGATCTGTGTGTCCACGCGTGCTCACATCTGGCCTGGGTCCGGCCTGCCTCATGGTTGTCACGTGGTGGAACCTGGCTGCGCACTGACCTTTCACAGGTTAGTGACGTGGGGAGGGGAGTTCGGGGGTGGCCGAGTTAAGGAAAATGTGATTTCCTACTAACGGTGCTGGAAGGGCAGGAGTGCCTGATGCCTGGGGATGGAGGCGGTGTTGGGGGCTGCTGTGACCTTCAGGCGGGGCCAAGATCCACAGAGGTGATTGGGGCGCCTGTGGGTGCAGGCGGGAAAGCACCTTGACCTTGAGAACACCCCAACTTTGGCTCCCAGGAACAAGGCCATGATAACCTGGAGCCCCTCACCTCTGTTTTCTCCACAAGAGCCGCCATTGTCCCCACGTGAAGCAGACATGTGAGATGAAAAGCCCCCTGGCTCTTGGGGAATTCGCCCAGGCCTGGTCCCTGTGAGGTGGGGACACAGAGCTGGCACCTCGGGTGCCTGACCAGCCAGTGGCCACTCGGGGCAGAGGTGCTCTCACCTCTGTGGAGGGCTGTCCACCCAGCGTGCTGGGTTGACAGGTTTCTGTGGAGACTCACAGCGAGGTTCATCCATTGCTGGTCCAGTTAGCCTCCACGGAGCGCCTGCTGTGCGCCAGCCCCCCCTCCACCCCCCCACGAAGGGCCAGGTAGCTCAGAAGTGGGGCCCGAGGAGGAGGCCACAGGTCTCTCTGCACAGGAGGGTGGGGGGGCACCATGTGCGCCGAGGCCCAGGCTGTCCCACTGTCAGTGGGTTTGAGTCCTCTGGGAGGAGGGGGGCCCCAGGGTGCTCCCTGCGCCGGGGCGGACCCACCCCCCCTGGGGCCCAGGGTCCGGCAGGAGGCAGCTTCCGGGCTTACACGATGGCGCCAGTTCACAACATGGTGTGCTCACAGGGAAGCCCCCCATGCCTGCTCCCGGCAGGGCGTGGTGGCTTTGTCATGGCGGTGTCCCCGCTTTGACAGAGCCTGGCGTGTGATACTTGTGTAGTGAGTGTTTGCTGGTGAAGGAGGGTGTGAGCCGGGCATCGTGTGGGGCTGAGTGGAGGTCCCCATGGAGGCGGGGGCGCCTGGGCTCATCACCTGTTAGGGCTGTGGACCTCTGGTCATTGGAGCACCCCTCGCATCCCCTCAGCAGGTGCTGTGTGTGCAAGGGACATGGCAGGTGGGGACTCTGAGTGCCCTTGCGTGCTCGAGGCAGGGTCCCTGGGAACCCCAGTACAAGGTGGGGGGAGGCTGAGGCCGAAGCGTGGGGGCCGTGTGCCCACTGTGCAGGGCGCCCACATCCAGATGCCAGGAGCTGTGTACTCGGGCAGAGACCCTCCGCTCGCACTTGGGCTGATGGTTGAATTCCCACTGGACCCCTCCCCACCACTGCTGTCCTGTCTGTCCTGTCCTGGCCACCCTGCTGCATGCATCCTGCGGTCAGCACCTCTGCTCTGGTTGCTAGGCAACGAGTGCTGTCCCCACCCGCCCAGTGTCCATCACCACCACTTGACTGCCTTCTCCTTGAGCTAGGCTGAGTCCTGGGTCCGTCACAGATGCTGAAGCAGATGGGGCCTCCCTCGGGCCTGCTGGGAGACATGGGCCCGAGTCAGGGAACCCTTAGATGAATATAGACTTAGAAACGTGGTGTGTTTACCAGGGGCCATGTGTGCTAAGCCTTTCTCTGTCGACCCATGTCACCTCTGGGAATCCCCTCCCGGCACCATGAGGAGGACCCTTGTTGTCCTGACAGGAAAGAGCAAAACCCATGAGAGAAACTGACAAAAGGGCATGTTAGATCGGGAGGCAGTGTCAGGGAGGTCGCTAAGGGGAAACAGCAGACTGAGGTTGGGGAACACCAGCATGTGCAAAGGTCCTGGGGCAGGATCAGACTGTTTGAAGACCTAAAGGAAGGTCCCTGTGGCTTGAACCCAGTGAGCAAAGATGAAGGAGGAGCAGAAGGAGACAGAGCTGGTGATCGCGGTGGTGGCCTTGGTGGAAGGGCTCGCCGAGTGGGTGCATTTTATCACAAGCCCTGTGGAAAGCCCCTGCCGAGTTTTAAGTGGCAAGATCTGACTTGGGCTTCAGATTGGAGCCAGATTGAAGGGTGTGAGGGGAGCTGGGGGCCAGTTAGGAAGTGTGAGAGCTGAGATGAACAGAGTGGATGGATCTGGGGTGCTTGCAGGAAGAATCCTAATGTGTGGAGGTGAGGGCCCCGCCCATCTGTGCTGGCACCTGTCCCCTCCTTCTGCTGCGAAGGAGCCTGGCTACTAGAGGGGTGGGGACACAGCTCCCTTGGGCACGGTTAGGGAACTGAGGCCTGGCTTCCCGCAGCCTGGAGCAGGGGCTGTCTGTGTTCCTGTCACCTGCCTCCCAGGTTACTCTTCACTTACTGCCTAACCTGGGCTAGACCCTGCTTCTCAGTCTAACTGGGAAGTGTCCCCAGGGTCCTAGGCAGAGGCCACCCCTCCTCTCCGATCTCTACTTTGTGCGGCCCCTTGACAGAGCCACTTCTGTGCCCTTGAGAGGCACCGAGTTCATTGAGGCCTCTGTCCTCAGAGATGCGTAGCCATGCAAGGCCTCCACTGCTTCACCCCACGACCGAGGGGGTCTCTGAAGGAAACCGCGGCGGGTGGGACAGCTTCCTGTGGGACTGGGTGGCCCAGGGGAATCGGCAGGCCCCGGACGGAGCCAAGACACAGGTGCCTGATGGAGGCCCAATCACAGCCAACAAGGAAGCGCAGGAGGGCCGAGCGAGCGGCCACTCAGCAAACCTAAACATTTGTCACCGGTTAGTGACAAAATCCAGTGAGTCCGAACTCCCCAGGTGGGGGGTGGGGCCAGGGGCGTGCAGGCGCCTCCCCTATCCGCATCGGGTGCCCGCCGGGCAGGGAGGCTGCTGACCCCCAGCCTCTCCGTGTCCACTGCTGTGCTTTCTGGACAAGGCGCCACTTCTGCAAGCTGGACTGTGTCTGGGGCCTGGGGCCGCTGTAGTGACCGTGGCCTGAATTTCATGGTCTTGGGCTTGGCCCTGTGTCCCCAGGTCTGGTGAAGCTGCTGGGTCTCCCTAAGCACCTCACCATCCTACCCAGACCAGCAAGGACCCCACCGTGCCCGGCCATGAGGGCCGTGGAGTTCCGCCCGCAGCCCTGGCCCCTGGTCAGACCTCAAGGCAGTCCTGGCTCTCAGCTGGGCCGTCCTCACCCCCATTTGGTGAATTAACTGGTCACATTTCTAGGTCTCAGGGATGCCTTTTGGACTCGAGCAAACAGTGGCTTTTCCTGTGGGAATTTCCATTTGTAAAGCCTCAGCCTGTCAGCCCTGTGACCTGTGACCCTTCACCTGTACCGTCGTCACCATAGGCCACATCCAGAGCCATCTTCTGGGTAGAAACAATACTTATTGGGTCGTCGGAAAAGTCATGACGCATGTTTGCCACAGATGGCCCTAGTTCATTTTTGGAAGTCCTAGAGTCATCCGCATCTATGTTATTTCTATGTCATTTGACAGCTGAAAGTTCTAGTTTCATTCTGAAAAAAAAATTGAGCGATTTGGTTGAGTTTTGGAGATTTTACAAAAAGTTGAAGATGGAAGACCAAACTCTGCATTTTTGCCATATTTTACTGTTTTACTTGCATAAAGAAAAGAACGCGTGTCAAGCTTGTGAAAAGTTGCATAAAGTTTATGGTGACAATGCTCTACAAGAACGTCAGTGCCAACGATGGTTCACGAAATTCCATGCTGGTGATTTTGATCTCAATAACACTCCTCGGTCAGGGAGGCCTGCAAGATTGATGATGACAAAATGAAGGCATTGATCGAGTCAAATACATGTTACATGACACGAGAAATTGCAGAAACATTGAACATCCATCATTCAAGCATTCACAACCACCTGAAGAAGCTGGAATACATAAGCAAGCTCGATATTTGGGTTCCNGAGACTGAGGTCATGATCCTAAGCCGCCCCCACCCACTCAGCTGCACTCACCCAGGAAACTGCACCCTCCTCCCTGGGCCAGACCCCAAGCCTGACACACTGGGCGGCAATGCCCTCCCGGCCTCAGTGTCCCTAACCTGCAGCTGGCATAGGACCTGTGCATAGTACATGAGCGGGGGCCGTGGTGTGGCGCTGAGCACTGTGGCCGTGCAGTTCAGGGCTCTGGCTCTGCCGCAGCCGCCCCCCTCAGCCCCCCAGTATGCAGGTGGGTCCACAGTCACGTTGGCACCCTGCCTGCTCCCATCGCTAGGAAAACCAGGGCTGGCAGGTGCATGGCCTTGGGGAGAGTGACAAAAGCCCACAAATATAAAATGTCCCCAGTGGTCTATGCCGTCTCATTGTTTCCCTGGGGACCTGGGCTAGAACAGGCGTGCTCTGACCTGGGGGAGCCCACGCCATGAGGGCTGCCGGCCCCCTAGTCAGAGGGCAGGCTGGGGACACATCCCCCAGAGTTTTCCTTCATGTCACCCTCAGAGTTCGGGAGCTGGTTTTATTGTTGTTTGTCCCGACCCACCACTGGGTTTGAGGTAACAACACAAAAATGGGTGATGCCCCTCAGCTGGGGTCACCCGCCTTTTAGCTCCCCTGCCTTGCCGAGCCCACCAGGGCCACTGTTGCAGACCTGGGTTCCAGGAGGCCCTCGGGATCTTGGCCTCCTGCCGCTAACTCGGGAGTGTGGGGTGCTGAGCACGTGGGCACAGTGGCTGGTCCTGGGTGAAGTGGGACTGTCTGCCCCCAGGACTGTATGCTGGAATCAAGTTTTTCCTCATCGATTTTATCTTCAAACGCTGCCCGAGGCTGCGTGCCAAGTACGACACCCCCTACATCATCTGGAAGAACCTCCCCACCGACCCCCAGCTCAAAGAGCGCTCCAGTGCTGCTGCCGTGTCCCGCAGGGTGAGCCCGGCCTCCAGCGGGGGCCATGTCCGCTGTTCTGCATTCATTGTCAGTCACCGGAGAGCTGATATCCTCCCGATATAATGGGGCTCTTGAAACAACTTAGGTGTTTTCCGTGATTCCTGGCTCTGCTGTGAAGGGCCAGCCAGCTCTGGCCCAGCAAGGGACGGCTGCTGGCGGAGGCTGTGTCTCACTGGGAGGCTGGGCTGGTCCCCAGGAGATCCTGCCGTGGACTCTGGGGAGCGGGCCCCTCTGAGCCAGGCTGGCCCAGGCAGAGGACCGGCTGGGTATGGGGTGTGGGTCCCGGCTGCACAGAGCCTGGGGGCCTTGGGAGGAGGGAGCCCTCCCCTGTGACTGCTCTGCGGGTTGGTGCAGGTCCCGCTGTCCCTTGGCTCTGAGGCTCGGGCAGCAAGACAAAGCAGTACCCGGGATGGGCCCGCCTTGTGCCCACAGGCCGGTACTGCGCCCACCTTGCATTCAGTGGAAGGCTCTCTGGGCATCAGGCACCGTGTACTGAGCCAACCTATGTGCTGTCCTCGGGGTCTCAGACAAGTGGGGACATTCTGGGCCTTGTAGGACTCCCAGGCAGATCCAGGAAGGCTTCCTGGAGGAGGCGGCACTGGATTGCAGGGTCTTGTGTGTGAATGTTCTCTGAGGACAGAGTGTCTAGTGACCGCTTGATACTTCTGTTGCTGGGAGGGAAGCTCGGGGTCAAGTATGGGTCAGGTTTCCCGGGTTCTGGGAAAACAAAGCTTGTTAGGAGCCTGAACTCAGCAGCTGGGTGTGCAGCCAGGCATGTGTGAGCTAGTGGACAGGCTCTGGTCACACAGATGGTGGTGGACCCAAGGGAAGAGGCACAGAGGCAGGCAGCTTGGCGTCCTGGCCCTGGGGTGGCTGGGATAGGACCTTCCTGGGACCCAAGACTGCTTAGTGCTGGCCACTCTCAGGGAGAGAGCGAAGGGGAGGTGGGGTGAGGGCTTCCAGGATGGAGGACAGCCCCGCCAAGTGTCGCGTGGGCCTGTGTCTGCGCTTGCAGCTTGCTGAGCCAGTGTGTTTGTGACCCCGTGTCATGTGGACCCACTTTTTCTTTTGTTGCGGTCCCACGTGTGTGTTATCTCCTTTCTGGCCAGCTGTCAGGGCCCGACAAGGTACGGCATCCGTGTAGAAGCCCCTCCTCCCGTTGTGACCTGATGTTGTGCATTGCCGTGGTGTGACTGTTTTATATTTTCATGTCGCTTTTGGTGGCCTGTCCCCCTGGCCGGTTCCAATTCTGAAAAGTCCACCTGATCTGCCTCGGTCCTGAGCACCTGCGGCACAGCACCTGGACTGCATGTGCTGGGGGGAAGAGAGGGTCTCCCCACGTCGGGGCACACACGCCTGTTTGCTCGTCTGTGTGTGCAGCTGTGTGCGGGGAGGGAGGCCACGCTCGTCCTGGCCTGTCCCCCTCTGCACCAGCGTGGCTGACAGGGGCTGGCTGTGCTCTTGGCAGCTGCAGACGGCCTCCTCGCGGAGCTATGTGTCCAGCGCCCCAGCCGGCCTGAGCAAGGACGAAGACGCTGGTCGCTTCCACGGCACCAAGAAGGGCAATTTCCACGAGATCTTTAACTTGTCAGAAAACGAGCGACCCCTGGCGGGTATGTGTGCCGTGAGCCTGTGACCTGGTGGTGGGTGCCTCGGTCACCTGGTGGGTGACCTGGTGCTATCTGCCTCCTTCCCTGACTTCCTGGAAAGGCGGGTGGAGGCCTAGGGTGGGCTCCCAGCCCACGCAGAGCGACTCCTCTGTAGTCAACGAATGGTAGGAATTCAGCTGGTCCTGCCCCGAACCAGAGCCCCAGAGTTGGTATTGCAGGCGCTGCCCTGAGGTCCCCCTGGGCCTGTCTGTGGCCTGTCTGGTGATTTGGGAGTTCAGGTCCCTGCCTGCCGCCCACAAGGGACCTCCCCCTAAAACTCCTAAACTGCTGGTCTCTCAATGAACTGGGCTCTTAAAAATGTCGGCATCTGGGCCGGCCGAGTGGCGCGATGGTTAAGAACTGGCTTGGGACNATATGTAAGTATTTTTTGTGGGAACACAGCCATGCCCATTCTATTATATCTGTCCACAGCTGCTTTTTTTTTATTTTTAAATTTTTTTTATTGTTAGTTTCAGGTGTACAGAACAACGCAATAGTTATCCTTTTCACCCTCACAAAGTAACAACCCCCCTCCCCCATCTACTGCCCTCCCACCCCCAATATCATGCTTGTCTATTACAATTCCATGGACTCCATTCCAACACTCTACGTCCCGTGACTGTATATATATAATTATAGTTGACATACATTATTATTCAACATCAGCTTCAGAAATACAGTGCAGTGGTCAGACCTCTACACCGACTATGAAATGGTCTCCCTATCAAGACATGAGTCCATCTGGCCCCCTAAAAAATATTTACAACATTATTGATTATATTCCCCAGACTGTGTTTTCTATCCCTGAGGCCATATTCTAGTTACCAATTTGTATTGTCTCATGTCCACAGCTGCTCTTGAGAGCACGAAGCAGTCAGAGCGTTTACTCTTGGGTTGTCGGAAAAGTCATGACGCGTTTTTTGCAACGAAAAACATAGAAAAAATACATCATGACTTTCCCTACAACCCAATAGCTTGCTGACCCCACCTCTCACCCTAGAAACCCTACCATGTAGAGAACCCCTCTGTGCCTGGTGGCCTCTGGGCATTTGCGCAGGAGCGGGCAGCCCAGCCAGGACCACCGTTTCGCCATGTCCTAATGGTGGTGGACAGTGCCCCCTGCTGGCGACTCTGAGGCCTGCCTTCTGAAGGGACAGACTGACCTGCACAAAGTGCTCCCGTTCCAGGAGTTTGTCCTGGTTTTCTGAGTCTGATGTGGGTGGCTTTCTAAAGGCTTGGCTGTGGGTGAACAGAGGCCACTTCACCCACTGGGGCCCCCACCAGGACATGGTCCCCAACACACATGCCCGCTGGCTGGTACGCAGGGCCCTGCGGTGTGAGCCACTTCCCAGATTGACCAGTGCGTCCAGTGAGAGAGGGGCTGTCGCAGACCCACGTGGGCTGAGAGCTGCCTGGACAGTGCCTGCACTGGGGACAGCCTCCGAACTGCCCGGGTTGGGGGTGACGCACAGCCCCATGTGGTCTCCATGAACTGGGGTTCACCTTGTGGTGGAAGCAGGTCGGGCTCCATTTTCAGGGGGCCAAGCCTTTCATAGCCTGGTGTGAACTTCCACCCACTGGCGGCGAGCCCCCACCCTGCCCTCTGCAAACCCCCTGGGCCCCTTGCCCTCACCGGACTCATGCCTGTCCCCGCAGAGCGGCGGAGCCAGGGGCTGTGCCCCCGCGTGCAGAAGTGGTTCTTCGAGAAGTTTGGGGAGTATGTGGAAGACTTCCGGTTCCAGCCTGAGGAGAGCACCGTGGAGACGGAGGAGCCCCTCAGCGCCCGCAGGTGGGGCCCTCGGGGGAGCCAGGCCAGCGTCACAGTGAAGCCATGAAGTGGGGGTGCGGGAGTCCCCAGCCCAGCTGCCATGTCGAGCAAAGCAAAGGCTGCACAGGTTTTGAAGACGGTAGCATCCCCCACTGGGTGGTCTCGCTGGTGTTTTGTGACAAACGCTGTGTGGGGATGGTGGGCTCAGGGCGGGGTGCCCACTGCCCGGGCATTCCTTGTGGGGTCACACGCCCGCTTGGTAAACTTCGGTGCTGTTGTAGGCCCCTGGGTCTCCGAGGGTGCCAGACGGGCCAGGTCCCCCGCTCTCAAAGACTCAGGTTCCTGGGGAACGTGGGCAGGAGACAAGACCCCCTGTAGGGAGCAGCCATGAGGCCCATCCTGGCACGTGGCCCCTGTGTGCCAGGGTCAGCCATGTGCCCTGTGTGCCAGCAGAGCGCTGCAGATGCGGGCTAGGGGAACGCCACTGCAGGCGAGTCACCTCCCTCTCCCTGTCTTTTAGGTTAACTGAAAACATGAGGCGACTAAGTAAGTATCGAGCCTGTGGGGGGCTGACGGGTGGGTGTGGGTGGGGCCGGCCAGCAGGGGCGCTGCGATCTTGCACTGCACTGGATGTCTTTCTAGAAAGACGTTTTCCAGTAATTCCCACTCCAGCCTTCCTTCTGAAGCTGTTGGGAGTCTGTCCCAGGCCCACCCTGTCCGTCTGCCCCTCCAGGTGTGGAAGCCCTGGGGAACAGTGGTGCTTTCCCAGATAGCTGCCAGTGCCCAGGGGATGCAGCCAGGCTCCCCGGCCCTCCTCCTCCTGTGTGCGGACACAGGTGTGGGGTGGGGCAGACAGGCGGCATGACCCACGGGGCAACCGAGGGCCCAGGCGGCCCTGGCCCAGGGGCCGGGCGTCTCCGGGGCTGCGTGTTTGCGGTTTGCTTGCCCATTTCGGTCCCGCCTCTGCAGCCAGCCTCACCCCCTCCCACCCCTGGTGTGCCTGAGGGCCGGTGAGCACCGGCCTGACCCTGCCAACATTCTGTCCCCAGAGCGTGGCGCCAAGCCTGTCACCAGCTTTGTGAAGAACCTCTCTGCCTTATCCGACTGGTACTCTGTCTACACGTCTGCCATTGCCTTCACTGTGAGTGCTCCTCGGGGGGAGGTGGGGTGTGCATCCTCCTGAGGTTGCCCTAGGGACCCACCCCGGTC